TTCTATTAAAGGATAATCACTTTAAAAAATATATAGATAGATAACCATGTCCATAGAATCCTAAAAAGATTTACCATGAATTCCTTAATGTTAACATTAAAAAGTGCAATTGTCTCATTTCATGTTAAAATAGTCAACTGTCGCAAATTTCATTTTTAAATTCATGTATTGTAGTCGGTTGATATATCTCTTAAGTCTCTTTTAATCCATTGATTACCCCCCCCATCTCTCTTTTTTCTTACAATCTTACGAGGAAACTGGGCTGTCTGTAACACTATATTGATTAGTTACTTCTCTACTTAAAATCTTTAAGTTTTGCACAGATGCCAAAATGTCCTGGCATCCATAGCCCTTCATATCCTGGTACCAACATAAGTTTGTACAAGGTGTCTGACCGGCTGGCCTGTACCTATTCACAATCCTCCGGGACAGGACTCATCGCATTCCTGTCTCAGGAGTCCTTCTCCTGCCCTTGTCTCTACCTGAAGGTCCACCCACTCTTTTCCAATTCCATGATTTCTTGTCCAATTTAATTCCCAAATAGCCACAAAGCCTTGCAAGACCACACCGGGACCTAGAAAAAGAAAGCCCCACCAGGAGACTGAAAGCTAGGTTTTAGAGTCAGACAGACTTCCGCTTAATTCAAATCCTGCTCAGTCCCCAGAGGGACTGAATGGGTCTCCATTTCCCTAAACCTGAGTTTTCTCATCCATAAAATGGGGACAATTATGTATACTTATACAATTATGGGAGAAGTGAACAAGATAATGTTCATAAAGTGATTAGCCCAATGTCTTGCACATGAGTGTATATAATAAATGGCAGCTATTATGATTACATCCTATCTGCCCCTCATGTGATCATGTTACCCAGCACTGCCAGCCATGTTGGGTGTATCTGGCTTATCGCCAACCACATTGCACAACAGACCACACACAGATTCCCACTCATGCATCCAACTGTGAGTAAATAAAAGCCCCATAAAGGGCAGAGTTCTAAATGTCTGTTGACTGCCCAGCTGGTATGGCTCAGTGGTTACATGTTGACCTATGAACCATGAGGTCACAGTTCTGTTCCTGGCCAGGGGTACATGCCCAGGTTTCGGCTTGATCCCCAGTAGGGGGCATGCAGGAAGCGGCCAATCAATGATGATCTCTCATCATTGGTCTTTCTCTTTCTCTTTCTCTCTCTCCTCTCTCTCTCACTCTCTCCCCCTCCCTCCCTCTCTGAAATCAATAAAAAATATATTTTAAATGTCTGTTGACTGATGTGTTTCCGTATATCTTCATATTAGGATTAAGTTACAAAAATGGTCATCATATACTCTACCTCTCTCTCCCCCTCCCTCCCTAAAATGAAAATAAAATGCTTAAAATGAAAATAAACATGTTCCTTGTTTTCCTGCATTCTGAACTATCTGACGAGGTAACTGACATTGATCTTATTTAAATATGCACTTGGCACTTGGTTATTATTCCTAGTTATGATATTATAAATAGACCTGAGAAAAATACAAATATTCAGACATGGGAAGAAATAGACACAATTTTCACATCATCATCTGGATACAAATCAGAGTGATCCCACCTGGCCAAACACAATCCCACATGGCAGTTCTTAAGAATTGCTATTTCATAATCTAAAAATAAGCAGCTACTTATTTTTTAACAACAACGAAAAAACGATATACTATTTCTGGTTCAAAGGATGATATAAAAGAAAGACACTGGCTTATGGAGCTCTTGTTTCTAATTCCTACTTGCAGTTCTTAGTCCACCCACTTAGATCCCAATAACAATGAACTCATCAAAGCCAGCGGAGGAGACTAACCTTGAACTGCGAGCTGACCGTGGGCCGCCGGTGCTTGCTTCCACATTTCAAGGTATCCTGGCTATTGCGGCTTGAAACGTGTTCAAATAGGTCATAGATGAAGTCGAATCTGTGAGAGCAAAGAGCAGGGACCATGAGGGGCACACACCCAATTATTAGGTGCTAGATTACTGTAATTACAATGCATTTTCCCACTGACAGTAACACACTGAGGCCTGGAAGACCTAAAACAGCTCCAAAGATTTCAAACCAACCACTGCGTCAGGCATTGAAAAAAAATTTGGTCGCCTCCAGGGCTTCTAGAGCAGGGGTCCTCAAACTACGGTCCGCGGGCCACATGCAAATACAAATATTGTACTTGTTCCCGTTTTGTTTTTTTACTTCAAAATAAGACATGTGCAGTGTGCATAGGAATTTGTTCATAGGTTTTTTTTAAACTATAGTCCGGCCCTCCAACGGTCTGAGGGACAGTGAACTGGCCCCCTGTTTAAAAAGTTTGAGGACCCCTGTTCTAAAGTCCGGCAAAACAATGGATTGTGATGCAAGTGACGTGCAGCCCAGGGTCCAGTTAGGAGAGAACCACCTCAGCTTCTGCCACCTTGACTCCCTCCACTTGGAGGGACATAATGTTTTGCTCATGTCACAGTGTTGCAACATCCATTCATTTAACAGGTAGAAAGGTGCTCACTCTACAGTGAGGCAGATTGGGGTTCAAATCCTGACTCCGCTATTTCCAGGCCAGATGACTTGGGCAGGATGGTTGTCTCTCCAGGCCTCAGTATTTCCATCTGGAAAATGGGGGTAATTTTAAAATTTATCCCATCACTCTGGGGTGAGAATGATATGAGAAAATGTACAAAAGGCTGAGCAGGGTGCCTGGCACATGGTAAGTGCTAAAGTTGGTAGCTAGTACTATTACTAAAAAGTTGTGTAGAATTCCGTTGCCCCTACTAATAAAGTAGAAGGCTTTTCAGTAACTTCTTTTTATCTTCCTTGCATGGAAGACATTTTGGGCTGTAAAGTAGAGGGCGTGGGGGCGGGGGGGTGAGAATATGTGGTTTGGTGGCTTCATTGAGACCAGGAAAGGTGGGGACAATGTCTGGGCATCCACAACTCCCAAGGTGGCAACGCCAGTGCTTCCTCCGTCACATCTCCCTTTGCCCCAACCCTTCCTCACTTTTGTCCCCGGGGCTACTTCACACTTGCTCCAACAATGCTTTGGCTCTGAAGAAAAGCTCTGGTCCCATGACCCGGTCACAGATGTCAGGGGTGAAAGGGCAGAATGAGCAAACAGCCCACGCCTCTCAGTTTGCAGAGAGAAGCCTGGGGCTGAAACAGAGAGTTCTTCAGTCCCATCACAAAACCACTTTATGGGTGAGAGCGAAATGCCAGCTTGCAGATCTCCACGCCTGGGAGCTTCTCAGTACATCGGGATGCTTCTGTTTAACACCAAGACACTGCTTTTCTTTAAGTGCATCACAATAACTCAGAAACTTCTCTGGTAGATAACATGCCATGGTATTTTTAAAACATCGCCATTTTTACAGGTCTAAAAACTCATCTAAGAGTAAAAATGGCGACAATTTGCCGGAGCCGGTTTGGCTCAGTGGATGGAGCGTCGGCCTGTGGACTGAAGGGTCCCAGGTTCGATTCCGGTCAAGGGCATGTACCTGGGTTGCGGGCACATCCCCACTGGGAGATGTGCAGGGGGCGGCTGATCGATGTTTCTCTCTCATTGATGTTTCTGACTCTCTGTCTCTCTCCCTTCCTCTCTGTGAAAAATTAGTAGAAAATATATTAAAAAAAAAAAAAAAGATGTGCAAAGACATTCACTCCTGTAAAACACATCTGAAGATGGAATACTTCCAATTCTGAGCTTCTAAGCTGACACTTGAGATGGCTCCCTTCCCCTCAGTACACAGCTATTTAGGTGATAGGGAGGCCACCTGGCCTTGGCATTCCTAAAAGTATTACACCTTTAAAATAACTGGCTACTTTCTTTCCTTAGGTATTAACATTTATTTCTGTTATATTCACTCGGGATCTGACACAGGTATTGAAAGCTTTACCGTAGGCTTATCTTCCTCCCTTTTCCTCTCACAAAGCCTCCTAGTTTAATATATACACATAGCTACGCTAATCAACTATTGATTTAGTGGTGTGAATTTACAATTCATGAGTGAATAACTGGATGTGTAATAAATTTACAATGTTAGCTGAATTGATGCTGGTTTATTTTTCCTGACAGACTTTGCACTAACTAAAGACATAGCGATCCTACAAACCCAAGGCTGAAATCGATTTAACCGCAGCTCTAAGCTTGTCATGAAGAACGTCGGTCATACTGGTTATGGTTTGGGTTCTTAAGCCAAGCAGACCAATCAAAATTAGAGGGATCTTGGGCGAGTCACCTAACTGCTCCAAGTCTGTTTCCTCATCTGCACAACAGGAGTCAAAATAGTATCTAAGTCACGGGTCTGCTGTGCTTACAGCACCTGATTAAACGGTAGTCACTGCCATTCGTATATCTGTTGGTCATTTTATTGGTGAACTATTGCCCGGGGAAGGAGAGAAGAGATTAAGTTGCTTCCATATTCATTGTTTCGATATTTGTGAATTAAAAGCATTTGCATAAATATTACTTTGCTCGCTAATGATGTCTTAGGGAAGAGGCTGACATACCGGCTTTCCCTTAGCAAGTTGAGAAGGTCATCTCTAAAGGTATCTCTGTTCTTCTCCAAGATGCCCCGGACATCATACTGCACCTGATTTTAAAAAAATAAACGCAAGAAGGTAGAATTGATCAAAAGAGTAACCTCAGGTGATAAGCACGAGACTCCCTTTAAAGATAGGCCCATGAGAAAAAGTCATATGACTATATTTATGATTGGCTTCTGAAAGTATTATTTCTCTAAAATACCAACTGGGCAAATGTCAATAAGGATCTTAATGAAGAAGTTACCTCTCCAGCGTAGTGTTTCACTCCAAAATTGTTGACTGCGACTCTGGGCTTCACATAAAAGTGGTTATTCTAAAAAAATAAAAATAAAAAAATACAAATGCCTACTTTTACTTACTGGTTTCCACTGAGTTCCAGAGGAAACTAACTACTACAGTAAAAGCAATTTCAAAACCAGTCATATAGCCACACGGCCAGTGATACACTTAATGAAAACCATGTCCCTCTTGTCTGTGTCATTACAACAGGTTAAAAATACAAAATCTATACTCATATACATGGGCATAATCTGACAAACAGCCCCAAATCTACCCCCTTGGCTGATTTTGATTTAGTTCTAACAATCGAAGAGGACCGCCATTGGTTTAAGAGGCAAAAACAAATTAAATGTGGAGGCACAGGGGGGCCAAATCTACCCCTTTGGCTTATTTTTACTTAGTTCTAGAAATCGAAGAAGCGCTTCATTGGTTATGTGAAAAAACAAAATTAAATGTGGAGGCCCAGGGGGGCCAACAGCACTGAAATATCTCGAATGTCATTTTAATCCACAGATCTGCTACCCAGACATAACTAAAAATTGGCAGGTCTTGACATACCGCATGTTGATTGTGTAATTTCTCCAATAAGGTGCTGTCCGTGGCTTGAGGAAAATGGCTTTCTTCATTGATAAGGGCCAGGAGACCTAGTTTCTAGAAGAGGGAAAGAAGGTTAAATGAATTAAAAGTGAACATAACATGCTTCAAAATATTTCAGAGCTCCTTTCCTCTCTGCTCTCTATCAAATAAGTGGTTAGAAGAAAAGACACAGCCCGGAGGTGTGGCTCAGGGGTTGAATGCTGCCCTATGAACCAGGAGGTCACAATTCCATTTCTGGTCAGGGCACATGCCTGGGTAGTGGGCTTGATTCCTCACGGGGGCATGCTGGAGACAGCTGATCAGTGATTCTCACTCATCACTGATGTTTCTAACTCTCCCTCCCTCTCCCTTCCTCTTTGCAATCAATAAAAATATATTTAAAAAAAGAAAGTAAAAGGTACAGTAACTCCTTAATTGAAAAAATTCAAAATAGTACTTTAAAGAAATCTAATAAATTTAAATTCCACATAAACATTAAAAATAAAATTGAACCCACCACCATTTTGTGGACAAAACTTTTACAACTGGCTGGTGTCTTACTGGTACCGGCAAGGCCTTGATGCTGACTTAAAATCTACGTGAGTGAAGCGGCTCTGCCCGCTGCTGATCCTAAAAATACTGAGTCAAGGAGACAATAGCCTTGAAGCAGCCAAGTGTTTAAATTCAACCCTGCACATTTACATTTACATTTCCAAACGGCCCATTGTGTTCTAAACATTCACATCTTTGATGTGCGTGTTCACACAAGCCATTGCGTTCCCATAAAGATGAATCAGCCAGCTGGACACCCTTGGGACTGAAACGGCTCTTCAACAATACATTACCTTCTCGATCAAGTCCAGGCATTCGCCATTGTCTATCCAGTCAATATCTTCCCACACTAATCCTTCTCTGTAGAAAGATTAAAAAACGCTGAGTTATAGCAACCTGTACCTTTCTAATTTAGTGGTTAATAAAAAAAATTGAAATAGGATTCCATGAGTGCTTACCTGCTATATTCTAGTTGTTCTAAAGAAAAAATGTGCTTGTTGAAATATTCCTGAAGTTTCTCATTTGCATAGTTTATATTGAACTGTTCGAAGTGATTAACCTAAGGGAAGAAACCATTCAAAAGGTATCTTTAATGCTCTCACTATTCTATATAAAGATGGAAAAAAAATCTCCAGAAAAGAAATCAGTGTTTGTTACGAAAGTTTTGAAGATCAGCCAATAAGTGGATAGAAAAGAAGGCACGTGCCCACCGGTGGAAGCATACCTCGAAGTTTTCAAATCCGAAGATGTCAAGAATGCCAATGGACTTAAAGTCGTCTTTGCCTTTGATCCTGCTGTTGATCTTCTTGATCACCCACTCAAAGCAGCGCGCGTAAAGTGCCATGGCCAGGGAGTCTCTGCTGTCCACTGCCTGAGGGGAGGAGACGTGGTCACCGTGTCCCCGACCAGGGACAGCCAGCCAGGCAGGTCCGCCCCACCCACGCGGGAGCTCTTGGGAGACCCATGTGGCAGGGGTGGCACCAGGGACTCAATGGCAAGGAAATCAATGCCACCTCGGAAAACACAGACTTGAAGAAAGGATAAACTGGAACTGCTTGTCCCTTTACAGTAGGACTCACCAAGGATGCCTTTAATACCAGGCTCCAACGACAGCTCTGTGTGCTGAGTTTAGGTAAGAACCTGAGCTGATATATACAGCTACAAATTTTATCGGGTTGAAAACAATAGTGAAGACAGTGTTTTCATTTTTATCTTCTTCTCCTATTGTACTTTGTACACGTAAAAGTTTCCTTTATGGGATATGGTTAGTATTTTTGACTTATCTAATCAAGACACAGGTATTACACAGACTAGAGCATATAACTGGCTCCAGGCTGTTACAGAGGCAAAAATAAGTAATACAACATACTATTGCACTGTTTTCATGTATAATAATGTATTATAGTTCACGTTTAGTTCTTATTCTATGCCAATCAATAAGTACTTAGAATATATATTTTCTTATTACCCTTACAAGAATCCTCTGAACTAGGTCTTATAGAGGAAGCTGAGGCACAGTGAACAAATTCCCTAAGAGCAGACAATAAAAGGTGAGAGAGTTAGGACTCACACGGAGGCCATCTGCACCAGACCCAACCCTCTTAAAGAGGCAGCTACACTGTCTCTTAGAAACAATTCAGTAACTTTATCTACTCCCCTCCAGGTGGATATCTTTATTTTGACCGTGAACCACAGTTACTTATTTGAATCGAAGCCATGGCTCTGAAACCCCAGGAGTGTCCTTCAA